CTGCACAACGGACGGCCTGCCAAGATTCTGCAGCGCTTGCGTCGGAGCTGCACCGCCACCAGTGAGCGCTGCGAAGACGTTGTTCCTCCAATCCTGAAGGAGGAGGTCCACGTCACGCCCCTTCCTCTCCCTCGGCGCCGGCACCTGCTTCCGCCTGCGACAGACACCTCAGGACTTTGGTATGCAACGAGGAGGTTCGCGCTGAGGTTTGGGCGCTCGGGTCATAATGCCAGTGGCGCGAGAGTGGTGCTATTAGTAGTGATGATGATGAGGGTATTCAATGTCGAAGATGAAGGTTATAATGATAATAATTGTAGTATTGATAATACTGATAACAGTAGTAATGATGATACTACCACTAATAATAATAACAAGTTATGATAATAATAATAATAATAATAATATTACTACTACTACTACTAATAGTAATAATAATAACAATAGTAATGATAATGATAATAACAATAATAATAATAATAATGATATTACAACTACTACTACTAATAGTAATAATAATAGTAATAGTAATGATAATAATAATAACAATAATAATAATTATAGTGATAATAGTAATAATGCTAATAATAATATTAATAATAATGATAATAATAATAACAACAACAACGATAATGATAATGATAATGGTAATAATATCGATAAAATAATGATAATAATAATATTTCTATTACTTTTATTATTATTACTAATAGGATCCTCTGCCTCCTCCTCCTCATGATCATCATCATCAGTATTTTTTTGTCATTATTATTAGTAATATCATTATTATTATTATTATTATTATTATTATTATTGTTATTATTATCATTATTATTATTATTATTATTATTATTATTATTATTATTATTATTATTATTATTATTATTATTATTATTATTATTATCATTATTACTATTATTATTATAATTATTATTATCATCATTATTATTATTATTATCATCATTATCGTTGTTACTCTTTATTATTATTATTATTATCATCATCATCCTCATGGTGAGCGAATGATAACAAAGAAATACTATTACAATATAATATTAAAGCAAAATGAGTTTTATCATAGCATCAGCATAGCGCTGGTGACGACAGCAAATGCTACGCAGTATATCATAACAGAATATGGCGCGACTCGGCATCGGCATCAATATCAGCATCCGTTTCAGCATCAGCATCATTAACAGCAACAGCATCATTAACAATATCAACATCATTTTCAGCATCAGCATCATTAACAGCAACAGCATCATTAACAATATCAACATCATTTTCAGCATCAGCATCAGTAACAGCATCAGCATCATTAACAGCATCAGCATCAAAACAGTATCGGCATCAGCATCATTAACAGCATCAGCATCATTAACAGTATCGGCATCAGTTTCAGCATCAGCATCTGTTTCAGCATCAGTATCATTAACAGCATCAGCATCATTAACAGCATCAGCATTATTAACAGTATCGGCATCAGTTTCAGCATCAGCATCTATTTCAGCATCAGTATCATTAACAGCATCAGCATTATTAACATTATCAGTATCATTAACAGCACCAGCATCATTAACAGCATCAGCATCATTAACAGCATCAGTATTATTAACAGTATCGGCATCAGTTTCAGCATCAGCATCTGTTTCAGTATCAGTATCATTAACAGCATCAGCATTATTAACAGTATCAGCATCATTAACAGCATCAGCATCATTAACAGCATCAGCATTATTTACAGTATCGGCACCAGTTTCAGCATCAGTTTCAGCATCAGCATCGCCCCACATAATAACAGCGAGCGAAATACTCATTCACTCAGAACTTCACTTTAGAACAAGAAACGGGGAAGTTGTTCTCGAAACTTGAAAGGGAGGTGTTGGTACCGATAGGGGGAAGGAGGGGGGGGGGTAAACTTGGCCGGAAAAAAGTATGATATAGAAATCAAAGTTATAACTAGTGGGAGGCGTTGGGGTGGAGGAGAGGGAAGCCGAGATAGAGGACAAGGTGAACTGATGGAGAGGAGAGGAGGGGAGAGGGAATGGGAGGGAAGGCAGAGGGCGATGATAGGGGGAGATCAAAGGAAGATGAAGAGGGGGAGAAATGAAGGCCGGGTAAGGAGGATAAAGACGCTAAATAAACGGGAAATGATTTATGAATGTTGATTTGCAGGAGAGAGGAAGTGAAATACAGTATATTTCCTGGAGTTAGATGGCCCGCGCCTCTTGGAATGCGGGAGCAAAGTGTTTTCGCGAGCGGTCGAAAAGGGACACCCGGTGGGCGGCGGGGGGGGGGGGGGGGGGGGGGAGGCTGCGGCGAGCGTAAAAGACGCCCGGGCGGACGAGACGCTGGTCGATAAACGTGTGTGATAACTGTAAAGGGCTTGTTCGGCCTGAAAGAAGGCTCCGGAAACTTCGGAAGGGCTTTTAATGACTAAGACCTGTGTCGGCGGAAGTGGTTTCAAATGTCTGGGAAGAGTTTTTGTGCGGACGGCAAGACAAATGAGATGTTGAAGCGTGATTTTGAGAAGATGCAAGTTATTGGAATGGGATATAGATCTCCATTCAGCCGACGAGGAACGCAATCGCTGAAAGGAGAAATCCGATTTCTTCTTTCCCCTTTTCTTGTTGCTCCTTTCTTGCCCCGGGCGTCTCTTCCCCCTCTCTGCCCCCCCCCCCCCCCACGTGTCGCATGCCCACGCGATAGCCTCAGACCCGAAGAACTTTCTCGAGATATTTTCTTTCATCTCAGAACGTTACAAGGAGCTTTAGGATTTTTCCTAAATTGAGAAAAGGTTAACTAAACGAACCAGGTTAAAGTTATCTCGAAAGAGTCCGAAATGGATGGATGAGAACTTAGACTTCTTGGAAAGTTTTAAAGCACTCGGGGAGATGTCTATAGTTGCTGGAAATAATCTGGAAGGAATCAGACCCGGGTTTTAGAGGGTCTGAATGTATTTGGGGAAACACGGAAGGGGACGACCCATATCAAAGCAGTATTGATTACTGGGGAGGAAATAAGTATCTTTTACACGCGTTAGACATACGGTACAAGTATAAGTAGCTGACGTTCCTGTAAGAAAAGAGAACCCCACACCCCCACACCCCCACACCCCCACAACCCCCCCACCCCCATAAAAAAAACAGATCTTATAGCAAATCCTGAAAGAAGTATTTTCTTTTCCTTGACGTATTTCCTTTCAACATTCTTCGACTACGAACGAAATTTTCTGGAAGAGCAATGAAAAATCTGAAAACGACCCGATTCCTCTGAGAATCGTTGCAAGCCCTTTGATGGTATCTTGAAGATCTATTAAGGTGCTGCAAGAGTTCTGTGATGGGAAGAATAAGGTTGAAATATCTGAAAGAACTTGCCCTACGACATTTGCATTCCCGACGGTGAGAAATAAACCGGGAGACCTGAGCAAATTCGCCGCGTGTCTGGAGGGCGCGCGGAAATGGTGTGCAACGAAGGGGACTGGGAGACGAGAAGTGAGTGAGAGATAGAGACGAGTTGATAGATAGATAGATTGATTAACAGAAAATAGATAGATAGATGAGAGGGAGAGAGAGAGAGAGAGAGAGAGAGAGAGAGAGAGAGAGAGAGAGAGAGAGAGAGAGAGAGAGAGAGAGAGAGAGAGAGAGAGAGAGAGAGAAAGAGGAGAGAGAGGGAGAGAAAAAGAAAAAAAATAAGTAAACTAGTAGGAGGAAGAGGAGGAACAGTAAGAGGAAGAGCAAAAATAAAAAACGAAGAAGGAAGTGAATCTTGAGAGCGTGCACTAGAGTTGTAAGTACGAAGTAGACGAAAGAAAAAAAACAAGAAGTAGAAAAAGCGCAGAGGCCGTTATAAAAGCAAAGTAAAAAAAAAATTAGGAAGACTGGGAGAGAGATTCTGAGAAAACGAAGAGGCGGCTGAGCGGAAGGAAGGAAGTGGAACGGACAGGAGGAAGAGGGAGAAGAGGAACGAACATGAGGCAAAAGAGGAAGAGGAAGAAGAGGAACGAACATGAGGCCAAAGAGGAAGAGGAAGAAGAGGAACGAACCGGAGGCAAAGGAGGAAGAGGAAGTGCAGTGAGGCAAGGGGTTATCCCAGTGGTCTGCCTCCAATGTAATGATGTGCAGGGTGGTTATCCCACTAATTTGTTACCAGTGTTAGGAAGCAGGGAGTTATCCCACCTGATGGCAACAGTGTAATATAGTGGGGAGTTTTATTCTACTAGACTGGGACCAATGTAATGTTGTGGCGAGTTCGCGTTCCTCTTTGATGGTACTGCTGTTTTGGTTCTTGAGAGTGTTATACTTAAAGTCACCATAGATTTATATTTTATTACTGCGGGAGTTTGGTAGCTGGGCTACAGAGGACAGGCAAGGCAGAGGTGCCCAGGGAGGAGTGGGGCATCTTGCCATGCCCGCGAGGGCATGGCAAGATGGAAAACATGAAAGAATTTGAATGAACACAAGTTCAGATACATATGGTCACTTGATGGTTTCATGGTGAAGGGACAACAGTACCTTATATACCCTTGTATGTGAGAAGAGATTTATGGCGTTTACAAGACTAAAAAGCTTCGTGATAAGGAGACAGAAATACTGAGTATTCATAAAACATAAAGGCATTTGAATATCGGTGATAATAGCGATGACATACTTCGTGATTCAGAATCATCATTTTCTAACGAACATTTTGAGTATAAACAAGACATAATTATGAACAAAGACATCAGAATAACCGCATGGGGATTGCTTGCGAGAAATAAGGTTTAGTTTAGTGTGCTCTAAGGTTTCTCCGTCATTGTCACGGCCATCTAGACCTGTTGGAGTCGGCCGAGGACAGTGGAGTTGCTGTAAGATAAGAAACATATGGCTTTGCTGGTATGTGAGGCGAGAGAGATCACGAGAGCCGGTCACTAGAGGAAGAAAGAAGAGCGATCGGGAGGAAGAGGCCGAAGAGGACCGTGCAAGATGAAGAGGAGGGAGATTAAAGGGCGGAGGAGGAGGAGG